GGCCTTCCCGGCCCCTGGGAGCGGGCAGGAAGCGGGGGGCAGGGGAGAGAGGGACAGGGGGATAGTGGACAGGGAGACAAAGGACTGGAGGTGATGGGCAGGGGATGATAGACCAGGAGGTGATGGACAGGGAGAGGACAGGGGATGATGGACAAGGGATGATGGACAGGGAGACAGAGGACAGGGGATGATGGACAAGGGATGATGGACAGGGAGACAGAGGACCAGGAGACAGTGAAGAGGGAAATGATGGACGAGGGGATGAAGGAGCAGGAAATGAACCCCAGGGAAATGAGGACTGGGAGATGATGGACCAGGAGCCAGGCAGGTGGGGAGCATCCTGCATCCCAGGTACCGCCCTGCAGTCCCTTCCAAACAATGCCCCGAAGCAGGGAGTTTGGCATAACAAACATATTGGGAGAAAAGTCCCTTTTTCTACAAGCTGTTGGGCTTCTTTCTGGAAGCATGGGGGTTTAAATCCCTTCAAAATTTGAGGAGAAACTAATTTCCTGAGGCCAAGACTATCAGAGGTGCTGATGGAGTAATTCCCCCTCAACACTCACCCTAGCAGTTTGAAAACTATATATAAAGCAAATAATATTTCCATAAATAGCAAATAATAGTTCCCTAGCCTCAAAACTTGAACAGAAACCTCTCCGTGCAGCTTGCCAGAAACTATTAACAAGCAGTAATCAATTCCCAGTTTTGCTAATAATCTCCAGAAATAAATGAGTGCAGGAGAAAGCAGGAGGAGGAGGGTTCGTGATGGAAGATCCTGGGCTGTGCCGTGCCACATCCTTCCTGTGTGACCTGGGGCCAGTTCCTCTGCACTGCCCTGAGTTAATCGGTAACTCCAACAGGGAGCAAGGGAGAAAATCAACATTTCTGCTCGCTGGGCTGAAGGAAACACTGCGACAAAGCCAAACCTACCTAACCATTATCAATAACATTATTATTATTAACATGTTTGTTATTATTAACACATGTGTTGGGTTTGGCATGATGAAAGAAAATAACCAAAAGAGGTTGATGGTATCATCTTCCTAAAACATGCCCTAAATATCCCAATATATTGATTTCGAGCTGTATGTGGGATATCTCACTCCATAGGTTAAACGTTGGCTCATTTACATCTTTTCTGTCCTAAGGAGGCTTTTCCCAAACTCCTCGCTGCCAGAACAGGGTGAATGTTTACTCAAAATTTTTATTTTCCAGTGTGAACCTGCGTTTGCCTTCTAGTGGGACAAACGAACACGGCACTGCCTCTGTTGCCCAATTAATGAAAGGGAAGCGCTGCCTCCTGCACATCTCGCCTGCGTCATGTGTGATTTCAACAGGAGTCCCAAAATCCACAACCCCTTTGGACCTTGACCAGGTGGTCTCTGCTTCAAGTGTGGTCCCACGGTTACTGTCCTGCTGGCCACAGAAAATAAGACAGATATGAAATCCAGACCCTTCGATCTATCCACAAATTAAAGAAAAAATGGCCAGGGTTCTCTCTGCCTGGCAGCCTGCCCAGTGCTTGCTCTCACTAGTCAGTCTGGCTCATACACCACTCCTTGGAGGAGGAAAAAAGTGAGAGAGGAAAATGAAAACAGAGCCTGCACACAATATTTCAGTATTGAATTTCCTGATGAGATACTGAAATCCAGGGGCCAGCCTGAGCACTAAGCCCTGCAGTGGCGTGAGAGCAAGCTATAAAATTCAGTGCACTATATCTCAGTGGTACCATCCATCATCTGAGAGCAACTTATTACCCTTTGGCACTGGCTCCGACCAGTCTGCTTCCAGCCCTCGTTGGCCGCAGACAGAAACAGGGACTAGTGGGAGCTGCTGGCTCAGAGTCTCCCAGTAATTCAGATAAAAGAAAGCAAAAGGCTGTTTGACTCTGCCGGAAATCATCACCCTGTCACCCACGCTCACGTGCAGCAAGTGGCACATGGAAATCTTTAATTTTCCCCTTCTGACAGCAGCGGACTTTTCTAATTATCACCCTCTTCTTTCTGCAGCACCCAATTAAGTTTCCTGCCCAGAATATTACTAATTGGATGAAGAGCAGCCCCTTAGGATGAGCATCCCTGGAACCTGAGGTGCGGGTTTGCTTCTTGAAGGCGAATGGCTTTGTGGAAGACAAGCAAAGTGCTGATGGCTGTGTCTGGCTGTAGGGACAGATCCCCAGAAGGTTGGATTCTAAAGCTGATTAAATGGTGATGTTCGTTATCTGTGGCTGCTGCTGAGAAGCTGTGTGCTTGGGACACAGCAACAAGAGAATATGCTTAATCCATCTTTTTAGCTAGTAATGAATCCACTGTAGAAGTGTTAAAGGAATCACTAGATTTCCTTTGGCTGTTCCAGAAAAGGACATTTCTAGTTTCAATAATCCCGGTACCAGCAATTTCTTACAAACCACAGGTTCGGGGGATCACACCAGAAATATAACTGCCCCACACAGTCACTGTGTTTACTATAGAACAGAGAAATTCAAGTCCTGTGACAATGACAAATCCTGTGACTGGTTCTCTCACTAAATTTCCACCCCTGCTACACCACTCAGCAGCTTCAGGCTTTCCTGAATGCTGTTTTTTGGTGTGTTTGTCAAATCGCCAGCCAGCCGAGTGGGCGGTTGGGACGTGTCCCCCATCTATCGTGGTGCTGCAGCCGCTCTGGCACAGGGCAGCATCCTTGGGGACACATTTCCATCCTGGAGCTCGCTGGCTGCCTGCAGGCACCTCTGCTTGGGGGATGAGCAGCCCTCACCATGCTACAAGGGTGGATATTCCAAGGGTATCACACTACATGACAACTCCATGTGTATAAAAGTCATTGCCTTCCCTCCCAGTAGTGTCCCCGACGACTCAAGATGTTGCTGACCCGCAGCATTGCGCCTTTGTTGGCCTTGATCCTGCTCCACGATGAAGTCGTGGTCTCATTTTTATGGGGAAGCAGTGATTTTCAGACCACATTCTGATGCTACATGGGAGAAATAAAAGACTTTCCCCCATAAAGCTGAAGATAAAAAAATGCTGCAGCGCCCGTTTGGTTCTTGAGGAGCTTTGGTTCGTGCATCAGACATGAGGCCACACATCCCTGGCCTCAGCACCTCACCCCGCACGTCTGCTGCAGCAGCAAAGAGGCCCAAAGTGTCTGTGTAAAACTGAGTCACGAGGTTGGTTTAGGAAAACTAAAGCACTTAGAGAAAAGAAAATAAATTAAACCAGTCTATAAGTGTGTTTGTTTTACCCGGGGCCCCACCATGTTCCCGTGCTGATGGCGGATGCTCTGGGACACAGGAGGATTTCAGAATTTACATTGTTCATGGCTGCTGACGAGCTCCATCCTTCCCCAACCAGCAATTTCACCAGGGGTTTACCATTTACCCCCCACCTACAGCCCCAGCAAACAGAAGTCATGATGAAATGGGGAGGGGCATCGTTCCTGCGCTGCCCTCGTCAACGGTCCCGGCTGCTGCTGCACAGCGGTTTGATGACAATAACAAAAACACCGGCACAATGTGGGGGCTCGTTTGTGGGGCTGGCACGCTTCGGGGCAAAAACTGGAACATCACATCCAACGGGGATTTCAGAGCCACTTACCCACCAGCGCGCAGCTGTTTTCTGCCAGTATAAAGGGGTTAAAGGGAGAGAGCAAAGAACCTATTTTTCCGGAAATTATTTTGTTCAAAAAGCTTGGGTTTATTACTTTCATTAAAGCGTGACAGCAAGGTGGGGGCAGGGGGTTGCTCTGATACCATCTTTAATATCCGTGCGAGCAGGAGTTTGCGCTGTCTGGAGCGGCAGGGCTGTATGTCACAACCACACCACATAATTTAGACTGTTCCCTCCACATCCCCATCAAGGGTTTGTCACCACAGCTGTGTCCCTGTGTCTGTCCCTCGTCAGTCGGAGAGGATGGTGAGTCACAGTGTGATGGCAGGTGAGGAGTCAGCGGCTGCTGTGGTGTTTGTCCCAATACCACTTAAACAAAGGTCCAACACCCCACAGCGTCAGCACCAGGTGGAACCACAGTGCCACATCCACACTGTGCCAGTGTGGGGATGACAGCCGCTGTGCTGGTGCAGGGGGACTGGGGTGGTTTTGTGGGGCGGTGGTGCTGCAGTGGTGGTTAATGAGGCCATGGTGTAAGACTCGCGGTTGTGTTGCAGTGCTGGGTGTGGAGCTGTAGGGACTGGAGTAGTGTGGGGCAGATGCAAGTGTAGGTGCAGGTATAGGTGTAGGTGCAAGTGTAGGTAGTTTCATGTGCATGTGTAGGTGAAGGTACAGGTGTAGGTGCAGATACATTTATAGGTGCAGGTTCAGGTGTAGTGTGGGTGTAGGTACAGGTGTAGGTTCAGGTACAGGTGTAGGTACAGGTACAGGTGCAGGTGTAAATTCGGATCCAGGTGTAGGTATAGATACAGGTTTAGGTTCAGGTACAGGTGTAGGTTCAAGTGCATGTATAGGTGTAGGTGCAGGTACTTGCTCAGGTGCAGGTGTAGGTACAGGTGTAGGTTCAGGTACAGGTGTAGATACAGGTACAGGTGTAGGTTCAGGTACAGGTGTAGGCACAAGTACAGGCTCAGGTACGGGTGTAGGTTCAGGTACAGGTACAAGTGTAGGTACAGGTGTAGGTACGGGTACAGGTTCAGGTTCGGGTGTAGGCTCAGGTACAGGTGTAGGTACAGGTACGGGTGTAGGCACAGCTGCAATTGCAGGTGGCGCCCTGGCGCCCTGGCTGACGTCCGCCGGGTCCCGCCCCGCGCCGTCCCTCCGTCGCGCGGCGATGACGTCGCGCCGCGCCATAGGCCGCCCCCCTCTTGCGTCACCCCCCGCGCGCCGGGCGGGCCG